GTAGATATTTTTCTGGAATTCTCTTACTTTTTCGATGATCCAATGGATATTGGCAATTTGATTTCTGGTGCCTCTGCCTTTTCTAAATCCAGCTTGAACATCTGGAAGTTCATGGTTCACATACTGTTGAAGCCTGGCTTGGAGAATTTTGAGCATTATTTTACTAGCGTGTGAAATGAGTGCAATTGTGCAGCAGTTTGAGCATTCTTTGGCATTTCCTTTCTTTGGGATTGGAATGAAAACTGACCTTTCCCAGTTCTGCGGCCACTGCTGAGTTTTCCAAATTTGCTGGCATATTGAATGCAGCACTTTCACAGCATCATCTTTCAGGATTTCAAATAGCTCAACTGTAATTCCATCACCTCCACTAGCTTTGTTCATTGTGATGCTTCCTAAGGCCCACTGGACTTCGCATTCATCATGGGAAATGCCAAGCTGGATGAAGCACAAGCTGGAATCAAGGTTGCCAGGGGAGACATCAATGACCTCAGATATGCAGATGACAACACCTTTATGGCAGAAAGCAAAGAAGAACTAAAGGGCCTCGATGAAACTAAAAGAGAAGAGTGAAAAAGTTGGCTTAAAACTCAACATTCAGAAAACTAAGATTATGGCATCCAATCCCATTGTTTCATGGCAAATAGATGGGGAAACATGGGCAACAGTGACAGATATTATATTTTTGGGCTCCAACATCACTGTGGATGGTAACTGCAGCCATGAAAATTAAAAGATGCTTGCTCCTTGTTAGTAAAGTTATGACTAACCTAGACCCCATATTAAAAAGCAGAGACATTACTTTACCGACAAATGTCGACAGATGTCGACAAAGGTCCATTTAGTCAAAGCTATGGTTTTTCCAGCAGTCATGTATGGATGGTAAAGAAAGCTGAGCACCGAAGAAATGATGCTTTTGAACTGTGGTGTTGGAGAAGACTCTTGAGAGTCCCTTGGACTGCAAGGAGATCCAACCAGTCAATCCTGAAGGAAATCAGTCCTGAATATTCACTGGAAGGACTGATGCTGAAGCTGAAACTCCAATACTTGTGAAGAACTGACTCATTTGAAAAGACCCTGATACTGGGAAAGACTGAAGGCAGGAGGAGAAGGGGATGACAGAGGATGACATGATTGGATGGTATCACTGACTCGATGGACATGAGTTTGAGCAAGCTCTGGGAGCTGGTGATAGACAAGGAAACCTGATGTGCTGCAGTCCATGGAATCGCAAAGAGTCAGACATGACTGAGCAACTGAACTGAACTGATAGATATGTACGTATACATGAATGTTCGGTTGCTCAGTCGTGTCTGACTCTTAGTGACTCTATGGACTGTAGCCCACCAGGCTCCACTGTCGGTGGAATTTTCCAGGCAAGAATACTGGAGTGGGTTGCCACTTCCTCCTCTAGGGTATCTTCCCAATCCAGGTACTGAACCCTTGTCTCCTCCAGTGCAGGTGGATTCATTACTACTGAGCCACTGGGAAAGGCCAATATGTATATATATTCTTTTTCAGATACTTTTCTATTATAGGTTATTATAGCATATGCATTTATATCCCTAAAAGACTAAAACATTATAGATAAAATTATCTCCTTTAACCACACACTTTCCCACTCAGTCCCATTTCTGCTCTCAATGTCCAGTGGTAACTGGTACCATGAGTTTGGGTTGTATTCATCCATTCTATTCCCTATAGTTTTATCTGAGTATGTGTATGTATCCATATCCATTACCAATGGACTGTGATGTTGTGTGTTCTTAAATTTATGTTAATCATATCATAATGCATGTATCAATTTGCATCTTGCTTTTATCACCCAAAATGGTTTTTGAGACCAGTTTAGGTTGATATATGAAATATACTGGTTTGGCCGTAAAGTTTAGGTTTTTCTGTAAGATGTTACAAAAAACCTAAATGAAATTTTCGGCCAACCCAATACTACTTTTATTTTATCCATTCCTTCTTGATAAAAATATAAACTATTTCTTTTTGCTATTATAAACAGTGCTCCAGAGGACATCCTCATACTTGTTTTTTGTATTCATAGGTGACAGTTTCTTTGAGATACAAACCCAGAAGTGTAATCGCTAATTCATAGGGTATGTACCTTTTAAAAAATGTCTAATTGTGGTTAAATGCACATATAACATACACTTACCACCTTAGCCATATTTAAGTGTGCAGTTCAGTAGTGTTAAGTGTATTCACAATGGTGTGCAATCAATCTCCAGAACTCTTTTTATCTTGCAAAACTGAAACTCTAAGAGGATGTACATTTTTAACACATATTAAGTTCACGACTTATTTCATCTACTTAACTGTGAGCTTTATATGATCAATATCTTATTAATTTCTATACCATGTCTACTATCATTGTTCAATAGGCAAATGCCTAACAAATGTTTGTTGAGTAAATGAGAGGAGTAATATAATTTTCACAATTATAGTGAGACAAAATTTCCTCATTACACAGATGAGGTACTGGACTCAGTTCTGGGAACCTCAACTATTTGGAACTTAGTCTATAAGCCAAAAAGGGACAATCATGACCTCTGAACAGACAAAATAGCTGACCAAAAAAAAAAAAAGAATCAATGCTCTAAAGTATATGTGTTTTAGAGGATTCCCTCCTGAACTTTTATTTGGCATCTAGTTACTAATTTAAAAATTTTATTACATAGCATTTTTGAAGCCAAAATTAGATTATAAAAATATACAAAATAGGCATCTTTAAATAATCACCCTTTGTTGCAGATAGAGAGATGCACTAGTCAGATTCTCCCTCAAGAAAGGGCTTTTTGCCCAGCTACAGGAAAGGTGATGGCCTTCATCTGTTAACTTCTTGATCATCCTTATCTTTCCGCCTCTGTCACTCTCGTCTTAGAGTGACTCAAACCAATGACCATGGAAGGTGGTGGTACAAAGTCCTGGCTATTACCACAGATCACAGGACACCTCCAGTAAGGCAATCTTTGCTCCAAAGCTCCCCGTTGGCAGTAGAGATTTTGTACATCTGACCACTACATCTACCCAATCTGGCTTTCTCCTCTTTTTTTTCAGAGGAGTAACTTCCTAATGACATTTTCCACTTGTAACTTCAACCCGGCATTTGCTTCCTAAAGAAACCTAACTCTATTCTAATACTATAATTCCAATTCCCAGAGATTTTACCATGAATTTATGTACCTTTTTTCTTTTAGGCCGCACCAGAGGTCTGCTGGATTTTAGTTCCCCAGCTAGGAATTGAACACAGTCCCTGGCAATGAAAGTGCCAAATCCTAACCAGTGGACAGCTAGGGAATTCCCTGAAGACACATACTTTTGCCTTTTATTTTCACTCATTTAAAATTAGCATTTTACTATGAAATTAAATAATTCTCAAAACTGTTATTTAATAGAATCATCATATGATTGCACCATGATTTTTTAAATTATCATCTTATGTTAGACATTTATATTATTACTAGTTTTTAAATAAATAATCCTGCAATGACTATTGTATGTAAATCTCTGCTCTTATCTGTATTTTTCACCTTAGGATAAACAAATAGAAATTAAATTACTGGAACAAGTTTGTATGCTTTTATTTTTACCACATTAAAAATTAATGAAGTTTAAAAATATCTCACTGGAAATATTCCTTGACATATTGAAAACTATTTCAATACTTCAATACCCTAGACAAGATAGAATGAAAAACACTTATTTTCTGCCTCATTCCTCTTCATAACCCAAAGACAACCAGTTTCCACTTTCCATGTTGCTTCAGGTATTTACCACCATATATTAAAAAGAAAAATGTGTTTATGTTGCTATGCGTTAAGCATGCTCTATTGCCTTCCTGTTGTGGTAGATGAGGATGTAGAACTCTGACAAATATACCACACACCCAACTCCACTTCTTCTTCCCTATCTTCCCAGAGTAGTTAAATCATAATTTTAACTTACAATAATAATCAATGCAGCTTGTTTACTGTCTGAGCCACAGATGGCAATCAATGTTTATATTATGATCAACACCTATAATTTTCAGAGTCAAAAAGTGAACTCTGACTCCTGTATTGTAAAACTCTAGTGAATAAGAAATCTGTACCAATGCAATGACTTTTTAAAAAGAAACAATGTTTCTCTGGGACTTCTCTGGTTGTCCAGTGGTTAAGATTCTGCCCTTCCACTGCAGGGGGTTCAGGAACCAAGATTCTGCTAGCCTCCTGCCGCAGTCAAAAAATTTAATAACTAACTAAATAACTAGATAAATAATTTTTTAAAAAGTAAAACATGTTCATGATGGAAACGTTTAATTAAGAAAGAACCTGAGATCAAATGTAATCGAAGTCCCTGTGTAAAATGCTCCTCTTGTCCCCTCTCTGATCCCTTGTCTTCTTTCCAAGTACCGAATCGAATCAATGCTACCTGGGCTATCTGCAGAGTATCACTGAGATGTCCTTGACCCTGAGGTCCCTTGGAGCATCCACTCTGCCAGCTTGCAGATCTGTGCTGCCCTTCTCTCTCTGATCAGTTGGAAAAGCCTGTCTCTTCCTCACGCGAAGCTCCTTTTCATGGGGAAATCCCACAGCTGTGTGTGCCGAGTGTGCCTAACAATTCCGTTCTTTCAGGGAGCTCCCCAGAAAGCTACATGGGCTCCTGGTGAGTTGGCTGCTTCGTTTTAGTACACGACCTTCTCCTCCCTTTGACTGACTAGAGGCAGGTTCAAATACAGCTTTATAACACCCCCACAAACACCCTTCCCTAGCATTCAGGCCCCCGGCTGATTCCACCCTCTGTGGAAACTCCTTCCTCAGTTGGGGACGTTTCCCTGAAGGAATCCATTTACTTCCCACAATCTGTGTTTCATCAAGTGATGTTCATTTTAAAACCCAAATTTTATTTTCCATAGTACTTCTGGATCCAAGAAAATCAAGGGAAAGCGCTGTTTCAGTCACCGTGTAACAACAGTCCAGAGCCCAGCATGACTTCCAGGTTCTGCACCAACCATGACACTGATATATAACGATGATCAGCGTGCTGGCAACTCCCGCCAAGCCGCCAGTTACTTCCTCTGTGAAACTTTTCCTGTTCCCCCTCTACTCACTGTGTCGCTTCCTCTCTTGTCCGCGGGCTTCCCTAGTAGCTCAGTCAGTAAAGAATCTTCCTGCAGTGCAGCAGACCGGGGTTCGTCCCTGGGTCAGGAAGATTCCCTGGAGAAGGAAATGGCAACCCACTCCAGTATCCTTGCCCAGAGAATCCCATGGACAGAAGAGCCTGGCGGGCTGCAGTCCATGGGGTGGCAAAGAGTTGGGCACGACTGAGCGACTTTCACTTCACTTTCACTTATCCACACTTAGAGCAGAACTCTTACTACATGTATACAACCCCGCTCAGCTCTGACAGGGCAGGAAACTACGTGTCACAATGCAGGACGAAGAGTAAGCATACATATTTAGAGGAGGGATGAGGATTTGGGCAGTCCAGGCTACATTCTAGTGCTTAAATACCAGGAAAGGGACTTTCTACTCAGTCAAAAAACAACAAGGAGGTGTCACGTTTTCTTGAGGCAGGGCAACTGTCTTGAACAACGCAGCATGCCTTAAAAACATGTCAGGTCATTGAGAGTCCGATGGGAATGCGGCAAAACCAGTTAGGACGTCACCCGTGTTGATCCTGCACTGAGATGTGAAGAAGGTTGCAGTGGCCGGGAAAGAAGAACTACATCCCAAAGGTATTTCTAAAGAAATAATAACCAAGTTAGATTTGCTGAGTTCCCGCTCTTTGCTAGGCTGGGCCAATGGCACCGAAGTGGGTGTGGACTCAGCCTATTTCACCCAGGTGCAAAGTGAGGTGGACCAGATTGAATGATTCTCTAGGGGTGACCCACCCGACAAGTGGCAATGTCGAGCTTTCCAACTCAGCTCATGGGGCTGCCGAAGCCTCAACTGGCCCAGCCCAGTCACCCACGCTCTGCACAGCCGGCTGTGGACTGTTCTCCTGAGCTTCTCAGTTCACTGAGAAGAGCCTCGCAGGGCCCTGGAGTTCAGGGCTGCTTTACAAGCTGCCGAGCCCTGTCGGGACCTCAGAGCTCGGCGCCTCCGAGGGCAAGAAGTCTCTCATGGCGGCGGAGGCTGGAGCTGACCGGGGCCCCGCGGGGCGGAAGCGGCTGAGTCACGGCAGGGCCGGAGCTCATTCAGCGCGCAGCGGCTGGCTGCGGGCAGCTTCAGCTTAGTGAGCCGTGACGCTCGGCGGCCGCACCTGCGGAGCAGTCGGGAACCCCAGCTGACCCGAAGCGATGAGTCAGCGCAGGTGACGCCCGCGGATGTCCGTGCCGAGGGCGGCCGCGTTGCTCCACGGCCTCCTTGCCTCCGGCTCCCGAGCGCTGCGTCCCGGCAGCCCTTCGCCTAGGGCTGAGGATGGCGGATCGCAGGCCCTCCCCGCACCTCCGCTCCGCAGAGATTAGGCGCAGGTTTTCCGCGATCCCGCCCTGGAATTGGAATCTGAGACGGAAATTTGACATCCACTGAAACCTTGAGTGGATGTTGACTTGCCCGGAACCAAAACTGATTTGCGACTCAGTTCCCAAGTTTAGTAAATAATAATGAAAACAAAACACTTTTTTTTTTTAATGCAAGAGAAGAACTTCCGGAATTCCAAGAAAAAGTGAACCTTGGTTTCTGAGATGATATCCCAACACGGTGGGAGCATGCCAGAGGGAACTCCAGAGATCCCCTGATAAGCGTGATCTGAAAGTCTTTCTCCAGTTTCTCTCCACTTGTGCAGTGCTGAAGCCAGAACCCATTTTAGTATAATGATGTTTTATTGTTCCTTGTTTATTTTTTAGTTAAAAGATGACACCACAGAAATTGATGCGGGGGAGGGGAATGACACCACATTACAGTCCGTCAACCAGAAACCACAATTACTTCTGCTTCTCTCTTTACATACTGTTCATAAAGAAGAGATTTTTCACATAGCTGCAACAGAACTGTGATTTTCTATTTTACCGTTTTCAGGTAATGTTATGTAAACATTGGCCCATGTCGCACAGACCTTCAGGATCATTATTTTAAATTACTGCATTATGCTTACCACATAAACTACTATCCTCCTGTTGCTATGCTTGTAGGTTGTTTTGTTGACTGTAGGATGTTTACTGCTCTCATTTCTGATTGTCAGTCTTTGTCCTCCATCCGAAAACGTTCTCACTGGGCAAAATGAGGAAATTTATGAGGAAAAGTAGCTGCCAACCATTGCCTTACAGGAAAGCTTATTTTCTTTTTAAGAGTTGGCATAATTTTCCCAAATAGTCTTTTGATATTTTATTCCACTTGAATCATCACAGCATTTTTTTAATGTTATTTGGTGTACATTTTAAAAGACAAGGACTTTCCAGGAGTCTGACAGAAGAGGGATTCAGAGTTGTGTTAGAGACATTTTCAGATTTTCATCAAGCAAGTTTGTGTTAAATTGCCACTGTTTACTGTCTTCTGCATGACTCAGACATGTTATTTAACCTCAGTCTCAGTTTTCTCATCAGAAAGACAGGGATAATAATAGTACATAGTTCATAAATTGTTGTGAGAATTAAATGAGATCATATTTGCAACATGAGTGCTTAAAATGCCTGAACATAATACTCAGGAAGTATTTACTTTAAATAATATTGTGTTTTTACTATTAAAGAGAGAGCAATGGCTCTATACTAATGATGGGCAACATCTGCCATGGCTACCAAAGCTGATGTGTTAAGTCTTCTTAATCAGATCAGCAATTTCATAGAGAAAATGGATAAAGCTGAAAATAGGTACATAATGTCATCTGATCTTTTTTAAAGGTTTTTTTTCTTAATTTATTTTTTGGTTGTGCTGGGTGTTTGTTGCCACATGCAGGCTTTCTATAGTTGTGGACAGTGGGGGCTACTTTTCATTGTGGTGCACAGGCTTCTCTTGCAGAGCACAGGCGCTAGGCACACGGGCTTAGTAGTTTCAACTCATGGGTTCCAGAGCACAGGTTCTCAGTCGTTGTGACACACAGCCTTTGTTGCTCCTCAGTATGTGAAATCTTCCCAGACCAGGGATTGAACCCATGTTCCCTGCACTGGCAGGCAGATTTTTATTCACTGTACCACCAGGGAAGTCCAGATCTTTCAAACAGTTTTACCTTTAGAAAGTTGGACCTAGCTGGGGTAAAGACTGAAGGTGGGAGAGAAGATCAAGAAGCTGTTATGTTTCATTTTAGACTCTTCTATACTACTTTATCACTGTGCACACATATTACTAACTTTTTCATTGTAATTTTGTGTAGCCTGAATGCTTGCTTTGAGTCAGACAGTTTGATGGTTCTTCAAACTGAAAACTAATAGTAAGTCCCAGATGTGATTCTGGTGTAAAACACACTAGAATTTTGCTTTTTCGTTTTTTGGTCTTAAGCATTGTTTTCAACTACTGCTATTCATTCATCCATTCAACATATATTCGTTAAGTGGCTCTTATGTGTTGGGCACTACTGTTGTTGGTTAAGACTTTCCTCAGCAGGCAAATAAAGTTTGAAACACATTGTGTGCCAGTTACACAGAATGGATTTTTGTTAAAGACTTCTCTAATTGTTGGTCCTTGCACTTGTTGCTACTGAATCTTGAGATGATCTGACAGAATGTAGCTTTCTTTGCAACAGAGCTGGACCTAAAACATTCTATTTCAGACTCCAGAGTCCTGCACATATGAAATAGAGGTAGGATTGACTTTGGGCCTTGTGGTGAGGGAAATTCTTCCACTACACTACTTTTCTGCAGTTCTGCCCAAAAATAATGTTATATCAAAGGGCCCTGTGGGTGTGCTTTGCTGGAGAAATTATTTGATTCAAATCAATTCAATATCAAGTATTGAGTGCCTACTATTAAAGCACTGGGGTAGGAATGGGTGTGCATGCTAAGTTGTTTCAGCTGTGTCCGACTCTTTGTGACCCTGTGGACTATAGCCCACCAGGCTCCTCTGTCCTTGGGATTTTCTAGGCAGGAATAATGGAGTGGGTTGCCATGCCCTCCTACAAGGGATCTTCCCAATGAGCCAACTATGGAAACAACCCAGACCTTGAAGCTTATTATCTTTTAGGGCCTTGAATCTTTGTGAAGGGCTTCCCTGGTGATCTAGTGGTTAAGAATCCACCTGCCAGTGCAGGGGACACAAGTTCAATCACTGGTCCAGGAAGATCCCACATGCTGTGGGCAACTCAGCCCATGTGCTACAGCTACTGAGCCTGCAAGAGAACCACCACGATGAAAAGCCCATGCACTGAAACTAGAGAGTAACCGCCTCTTGCTGCAACCAGAGAAAGCCTGTGTGCAGCAACAAAGACCCAGCACAGCCAAAAATAAACAAATAAATTAATTTTTTTTTAAATGTAATCTTCCTCATTAAAAAAACAAAATCTTCCTGAAGATTGTTCTGATCTAGGTACTTCTCTTTTTCAAAAATCTTGAATGGATCTCTTTTGCTTTCAAAAAAATTATTTTTTCATCTCAGAAAATGCTAAATGAGTACTGGGCACTGTGCTAGGGGTTGATGATACCATTTTTAAAAATTACTGTTACTGCTTGCATTATTGTTGATGGCGTCTCATTCACCAATACAATGCACTTAAATCAGTCTGAATTGTAGCCAGAACAGATATAATTTTATCTTGTATTGCTGCAACCATCTGACCACTGCTTTATGACTTGTATTGTAGCTGTTCCATGAGAAATATTGAAATATATATTATTTTATTATATCACTTTCCTTTTATTTCTTCCTTGTATTAAAGCACTATATTGATTCTCTAAAGATATGTGTATATAGTCTATAGTATTTATAATCCTTATTTAAGAATAGCATAGAAGACATTACAAGAAGATGTCTGATAAAATTGAGAACAACTGGCCTAGTCAAATAAATCTAAATGACTCATTTTGGCACTTATGGCCATCATTGTATTGTCTCAGGTTTATTTTTCTTTGCTGTATCTAAGATCAGGCGAAGTTGCTTCACTTGATATTACCACTTTTGGAGCAGTGCCTTCTGCTCCCACAGTTCTGAGGTCACTTTGTTCTATGCCACTGGGCTCTGTCAACTTTGACACATCCAATTGACCAGTCTATTCATAGTCTGTCCAACTGCCCAAGAGAGATATTCAATAGGAATGACAATAATTAACCAGATCAATCAAATTTTCTCTTGCAAAGATTGAATTTGAGACCCAGACAGATAATTAGTTAACAACAGGATCAGAAGATGAAAAACATACAGATAAAAAGCTGTAATTAGATATTATAACACAGTGG